CTAGCAGTTTAATTTGTGCAAAATTGTCTTTCTCCCATCGAGCTTTCGCTCCTCACAGTAAATTTTGGTCATTTTCTTAAATTTTCATGGACTAGTGCCTGACACAGATTAATGACGCTAGGGCTGTTTTGGGGAGGGCTTAAAAGACTGATTCTGAAATTATAGATTGAAATTGGGCGACACACACTGTTTTTTTTTTTTTTTTTTTCATAGATTTGGGTCTAATTTCTTCGAAAGTAGTCGTGAGTTCATTTGGCAAATTCTATTGCGCATACGGAATTCTCACCATAACGGGACGCATATGACATGTAAAAGTGAGCACTCGGAGTATCTAAAAAAATCCTTTCGTTTCATTTTTTCTCGGAGCGTTTTCAAGTGCGCTTATTCTTATTCCATTCTGGATCTCTTTCATCCTGTCGATACGTTCGTGGGCTCAAGATTTCAAGTAAACTTAATGCGTAGTGCTTTGCGATCCTTCCAACTTCTGACTGAATTTTTTTTCGTGCAACTTTTGCCCAAGTTTTGTAGCTTTCATGATTTCCGCTGCGTTTTTAACTTCGCTGAGGATTGTGTGGTGGGGAAGAATACGTGCTGAAATCAGGACAGCGACCCAACGAGACAGCGGATGAAAACAAGCCCCCACAAAATTTATATTTCTAACTCACTGTCGTGCAGAAAACGTGTGGTGCTTGTTAGTCGTCAAAATGCTTTTGATCAAATATTTTGAAGAACTAAACTGAAAATGCACCTGCTAAATAGGATGCTTCGATGTGAGTATCTCGTTTCAATACCACAGTTTTACCGCATTGGCACGCTGAAAAAATTGCTTGGTTCGGAGCGTCGGTTGCGAACGCGGCTTATTAATTGCCGATACAGGACACCTAAATTGGGTGTTTCAACTTGTGTCGCTGTGATAGCACCGATACGACGACAAACACACACACAGGTATAGGGAATGCGGTAGACACTCCCGCACAGCACACGCATCCATGCTTGTTGGTGTGGAACAACAAGACGGAGAGGGTGCAGGAGTGCATGGATGCGGCTGGCCACCACTGCCTCTCTCTCAACATGGAAAAAGAAGCAACGGGCAGGAAAATTTTTTCGGTTGTTGAACAACGAATTAAACAGTTACCTGCGTTCTTCCTTTGTCGCAGCTTCTGAAGCAGTGAAACGGGTATCCATGGATAAGGCACGCCGTGCATCCAAGGCGCTGGTCGCGGTCGGGCTGGGC